TTTTAGGTATGACACCAATAGATGATAAGATGAGAGATAGTAGAGTTAGGTGGGCTGGTCATGTGCAGTGCAGATCCAGTATAACACCTATTAGGAGATGCGAGTTAGTTCAATTGGAACGTTAAGAAAAAGGAAAGGGATAGGCCCAAAAGAATATGGTTGGAAGTAGTGAGAAAAGATATGATGACTTACGATCTCACTAAGGGCATGATCCTTAATAGAGCAGAATGACAAACCAGGATTCATGTAACCAACCGTGATTAGTTGGGAAAAGGCTTTGACGACGACGACAATGATGATAAAAGTTGCAAAGGCATTGGGATATGTAATTAAGACATTCTATCAAAAAGCAACAGCCTTGGAAAATGTTTCTTATCAGTGTTCTAAAAATCAGATTGGTGTGGTGAATCCTTCACCACCGATTCTGCTCAAATCAGCAAAACTGGTGATCCAACCAAATTAAAAAAAAGAAAAAAAGAGAATGGAAATTATAATATGTGATGAAGTTCTTCTTTCCCTTAATTTTTATGTTTAAAATAAAATATTTATATAAGTTTCTCAATTTAAAAATAAGTTGGCAACCTCACCGGAAGGTTCAAGCGCTATAACCATTATCACTTTAATGGGCTTTGTTTATAGTGTTTATAGCTCTAATTACCAAAACCCACGTCTCGGTTTTATTAGGGTACTCCTATATATACAATATTTATTTAATGTACTCGACATTATTGGGACACTCAATATCATTGCTTTGTAATGTAAAATGTTTTTGAAACCGGGTGTTTATCATCATTTAGAGTAGTAGAATAGATATTTCTTTAAGAAATTGGTTGCACTCTATGAGCTGTTTAAAAGCAATTAATATTCTATATGGGTGATGTCACACTTCATGGGGATGATGTCATTGGCTACTATAATTAATAAATATTTTTCTTTTCATAAAGAACTTCTACTTTACCTGTGATTAATTACCTAAAATACCTCTAGACAAAAAAACTACTCCATTGTGAAGTGAGTATCAAGTGTCTAAAAATGTTGAGTGCATTAAAGAAATATTCTATGTATAGGAGTACCCTAACAAAACCTTGTTTGCAACTTGAAACCAATTTTTTTTTTTTATATCCATACATCTTGATGTTGAGATGATCAATTAGATAGTTCTCCAATGTCAAAATAGCTTTCTCAAATGGATTTTTTAGTGTATATTGTTGATTATACTAGAAAGCAATAGCATTAATCTGCTTTGGAGGAATCATCTTCTGGGGAACCATTTGGATTTTTTGGCCGATTTGGAGGATGTCTTCGGCCTCTTGGGCTGGATCAATATATACACTATAGTATAAACAAGGGTTTAATATATATACAAAAGTGCTCAAGAATCCATTGGAAAATGTTGTTTGACATTGGAAAACCATTTAATAGATCATCTTGATATCTAAATGTATGGATATGGAAAAAGAAAAAGACTCCAAGTCTGAAAAATAGTACATCTTGCAACACATTATCTAGACTGTCTATTTTCAAGACTTTCATGCTTTTATATATCTACTTGAATCAAACTAATTTTGGAGTTCAAAATTTTATAATTAGAAATGCAAATAGATTTTAGGGCCATCGTAAAAATTTATAACAAGTTTGGAGCTACGCCTTAATTTGATTATTTAATGTTACACTTCTTGTTAAACCCCTTGTATACGAGACCTGTAGACATAAAACAGTAGATGAAGCTTAATGCCACCAATGGGTAAGGGTGCTAACTAGCCTCCTTCGACCCCGAAAAGGTGGAAGGTAGGCTTAGGCCAGCCTAAACCCAAAAATTTAGTTTTAGGATTGGCTTGAATTCATGATGACAAGGCCTGAGCCGGTTTGAGAGCGAATAAATGGCAGGTCTAGGGTGAGCCTTATTTAGGTATAAGAAAGTTTTCTAATATATGTTATATATAAGGAAAAGGTTTGTATAAAGTTGAGGCCCTAAACAATCAAACTAAGGCACAACTCAAAAATTCACCAGAAGAAGTTGTTCCGATGCGGAAAGACCTCAGATCCGATCATCTTGATCTCCAAATACATGGACGTAAAAAAAACAAAAAAGAAGGATTTCAAGTTTTGGAAATGGTACCTCATATAATATGCATTATCTAGAGCATCAGTTTTCAAGATTTTCAACTGTTCATAGATTTGCTTGCTCTACATTGCTTTTGAAGCTTTAAATTTTATAATTAGAGATGATAATAAATTTTCACGCAATTACAAAGATTTTTTATACTGAAACAACATTTGCGTGTTCGATTCTATGGCTGCCAAAACATTGTTTAGAAACAAACAGCGAAAATGGATGGAAGCTTGCTGCACTTTCTTTGCTTGTTGATGGAAAATAAGGGGGAGTAATATTGAAACTTGTGAGGGAGAATATCAAACGGTGAATAATATGCCACTATTGTTCTTTGAGTATTTTTTTTCTGGTTAAGAGTATTTCTTTTAGTATTTTATTTCTGGGTAAGAGTATTAAAGGGGATGCTTAACTGGATTCCTTGTTGAAAATTCAACCACTTCAGCTTTACTTCACTAATTGGGGTTCAATTGAGTTACAAAAACTTTAAGCTTTTATCAATGGTGGCTGAGCCAGCATGACTCATATGTTGGTGCATGTGCTCGCGAGGGCTCCCGACCTATTTTCATGGCAGGAATCCCATGGAAATATTTTTTTTCCTCATGTTTAAAACCTTTTTTGCAAATATAATATATATATATATATATATAAAAATAAATAATTAGTTTTTAAATAGTTTTCAAACAGAAATGTTGGACCAAGAAAGGAACATTGGTCTTCCTCCTCTTTCCTATTATATATGTAAGGGAGGTTAGAGAACATGAAAAAACAAAGAAAAAACCATCCAGCTTTGATACTTTTCTATATCCTATTATATATATAAGGGAGGTTAGAGAACATGTCAAAACAAGGAAAAAACCATATAGCTTTGGTATTTTTCTATATATAAGGTGTTGGGCTCACCCAGTTGAGCCCTCTCGCACGAATGCCGATATGCACAGCGGGACCCGGATATGGGACATAAAATATACCAAAATGATGTGTGTGAGTGGGAAACATGCAATAAAGCTATTTTCACGCTACATTCACGGGAAAAAGAGACAAATTCACAATTAAAATAAAGGTTACAATATTCTTTCAAGAAACAAACTTTTTTGGACACCTTGATTTCTTCTAGAGGGTTTTTTTCTCTCTAGGTTTTCCCTCTCTGAGGTTCTTCTCTATCTCAGAGGCTTTTTTTTTTTTAGAGGTTTTCTCTCTCTAAAAGAAAATATTCTCTTTTTCTCTCTAGAGACTTCTCTCTCTTCTTCTTCTCTCTCTAAGAAGAAAGATTACTCTCACTCTCTTCTTATTCTCTCTAAGAGAAGTCTTTTTGTGGATTACTTTCTCTGTTTCTTATTTTCTCTCTAACAAGCTTCTCTCTTTAAAAAGAAAGGTTATTTTCTCTTTCTTCTTATTCTCTCTAAGAGAGAGAAGAAGAACGGTTACTTTCTCTCTCTTCATATTCACTTTAAGAGAAGTCTTTTTTGGGGTAACTTTAAGGGTTACTTTCTCTCTCTTCTTATTCTCTCTAAGGGAGAGAAAAAGAAGGGTTATTTTCTCTCTCTTCTTATTCTCTCTAAGAGAAGTCTTTTTGTGAGTAACTTTCTCTCTTTTCTTATTTCTCTAAGAGAAGGCTTTACGTTTTCTTAATGCAGCAAGAAGAGGTTTTGGTTAAAAACACCCACCCATAGAGTGCTCCCAACCACCAATATGAGGTTTTTATAATGTTCTAGGTGGAATTTTTGACAACTTTATTTGACCTTTTATCTTCTCATGTGGTCCCTCATGTAGGGACCACATGAAGATACTCTTTTAAAAAGCGCACAACTTCTTCACGTGAGGTTATCTCTTGCTAATAACTTTATGACTTAGCATCAAGTCATTTAATATTGTTAAAATCATATACCCAATTATTGGGATATTTTCATTGGTGACCATCGATAGGACACCCAACATCGAGGGCAGAAAAAACACGGTGAAAATTACATAGGTTTGGTGCATTTAGAAAGCTGCGTCTCTCTCTTGTGAAAAATACTGCCATGGGATTCCTCCCATGAAAATAGGTAGGGAGCGTAAGGCCCTCATGGGCAAACGCACCAAGATCATTTCTGATAAGTTGTTGCTTTGAGTCATCTATTAAAAGAGTACATGAATATGATCAATTCAATCAATAACATGGATGAAGATGAGCTAGAAACATGTTTACTTTTGTTCAAACAATGAATTACACTAGTCAATGTAAACCAAACAATGCTCATCTCAACTATGGAAACCTCTTAAAACTGAATTTTGCAATACATATTATCAGAACATTTTGTTTTGATTAAACAGATTATCAATGCCTATGCATATTGCTGTTCCAAATAACCAGAAAACTTAGTTTTGTGTCAAATCCTTTATTTTTTTACTTCGTTTTTCTCTGGTTCAATTCTATGATAATAAGAGTAAATAAATTTCAAAGCACTTACATGATGCTATAGAGATTAGAGAGGCATGTAACAATACCTGCCGATGTGAATCGATCTGAAAAAGAGCATAACTCCCTACTATAGGATATCTCCTAGCTTTAAAGTGTTTGGATAACTGCACTCATCGTCATCTGAACTGAAAATACCACATTAACAAATGAGAAAATGCCAATGAATCACATTTTCCAGCCAACCAAAATTGACTTGACTATGAAATGAAAAAGTATGTAGTATTGACTTTAGTACACTTACACATTGATTGAACTAGTGTCAAAAGTAAATGGAATTTGAACTGCTGTTGTTCTTAAGACTGTTACTTACCTGAAGGCTAATATTTGCTGCATTTAAATTCTCTTCAAACGGCATTATGAAGAAAGATACTCTTCAAACTGCAGAAGCCACTGGATATGTTTCTAGTTCCTGATTCCATCTGATTGCAGGCCCTTTCAAGGTTGATGACAATGAAGATTACCTTATAAATGGGGCAAGGGTCAAGCTGAATCCATATTCTTGGAGTAAGGTAGCACTTAATTGAATGGTTTCTATGTGCATTACTTACGGTTTAATCATCGCAATTTATTATCTATTCGTCTAAGGAAGACTTTGCGAATCAACATGTAGAATGTGAATACTTAATAACAAGAGACATTATTTCAGTCTCTTTGATTTGAATATCAAGTTGGTGTTGATTGAGTTAATGTGCTATAAACATGCTTGCACATTTGATCAAATATAAGGAATCATTTCCTATGGTACGTAATCATAATAGGCATGTCTGTATTTGAACATTACTTGTTTGCATCTTAATTAGTAGGTATTCTTTAGGTTATATCTCTCATAATTAACTATTTGGACCAGTATGCAAAGAAGATCTTTGTAAATTGCTTCCTGGTTATACCTCATTACCACAAAGCCTCATAGGATGTAGGCATTTTCAATTTTTAATTCAAAATTTACCATGCCCTTAAAATTTTCTTTTTGGCGATAATTAATTGCAGTTTCAATTGATTCATAAATATAGTTTGATTGTTATCCCTCTTGGTTTGGGTTTCTATGGGTTCCTTCAATTGGTTAACCATATGCACAAGGAACTGCCGGAGTGGGTCTTGGCCTCCATCTTTAAATTTTGTTATGATTGGGTGTTTTTTTCAGGAGAAATCTTTGAATATTTTGTTTTGAGATTCAGATACTTTGACACATAAAAAAATTCAAAATTGCTATCTTAAATCCACTTTGACGCTTGTTTATTGTTCTCTTTCAACTCTGTCATTATATATGGATCCCATATAGTCGTAATCTTGTGATCTTTTGCTACCATAACTAGTCTTCTTGAGTAATGGCTTGGCAATTGGGATCCCTTTTTATTGCTGTCAGCCCCACAAGCTTGACAAGATAAAGTAGTTTACACTCTTAATTATTATCTGTTGTCAATCCTCCTTATATGTTTTCTGAAAGGGTGAGATATCTTGAGCTATGTTGCTGGATCTATCACAATGCCTACAGAGCAAAAAGGCAGTAGCTCAATGGGATGTCAGAGAAAATAGGATTGCTTTATAGATGTTCAGTTCATTGGAAGTTAGCATTACTACGAATCTCATCTTGTTTCTGTGGCCAATGAAAGTACGATCACCTCAAAAAGGTTACTCTGTCAAATGAAGCCTCTTGTATCAATTGGAACCTGATATCATGGCAAAGAATCATGTAAATCCCATGAGCTAGGATTTTCAAAATGTCTTTTCTCTCATTTGAAATGATGTGTCCCTGATGTACTTTATGATTGCAACAAAATTAGAAGTGGCTGTTCTGAAATCCAGCGATTGCACAAGATTGTTTAAGTAATTTAATTATTAATGACATAGTTTGAGAATGTTTGGGTATCCATCCTGCTATTCTGATGTTCCCAGAGCTGTTATCACCGGAAGGGGTGTGGATCAGATATATTTATATGGCTTTACATTCTTTTATTTTATTGGTATTCTCTTAGCTCTGAAATGTATTATTTTAGAGATACCATTTACTTATTGTCGTTTTCCCTTGATGGATTGTTGTCCTTGTGACCCTTTATTTAATTTTCGTTGAGGGAATTTTATCATATTTCATGATTAATACTTTCTCTCTGTTGTAGGTATGGTTTGAAACTTTTCTCTCTGTTGCATGTACGGTTGAAACTTATTTTTTAGTTTAATTTATATTGGTGTCCAACATGATTTAACTGGATTGTTGTTCTTGTGACCCTTTCTTTAATGGTTCTTAAGGGAGATTTTATTGTAGTTCATGATTAGTTCTTTCATTCTCCAATACTGATATTGCCTCTCTCTGTCTCATCTATGATTGAAACTTAACTTTTTAGTTTAATTTACTTTGTAGGTGTCCAACATGATATATATTGATGCACCCGCTGGGACTGGATTCTCATATGCTGATAACACAGATGACTACATAGTTGATGACCCTGAGATCAATGCAGATATATATGAATTTATTTTAAAGGTCAGAAAGTATTAATATGTAAGTAACCCAAAGAGCTGTACATTAATTGTATCTGATGATGTTCTGATACAGTGGTTTCTTGAGTATCCTGAATTTCTGCCGAATCCATTTTATGTTATTGGAAGCTCATATGGTGGAATGCTTGTACCAGTAGTCTCACTACTAATAGATGAAGGTAGAATTGATTCTCCAATGTTATTTTCTTCAATTATCTGATAATTTTATTGTATTTTTTTATGTTCTAAAAATTTATGTACCCTTTAGTATACATTGTCATTTATCTTTCTGACCTTTCCCATTGTACATTGAATATATGCTTTGGTACGAACTACACTACTTTTGATTAATACATATTTACTTCATGTCTTTATTCAGGACTTGAGGCAGGAACTAAACCAAGGATAAACTTTAAGGTGATCAGCCGTTCATTTGGTTCTGCTAAGCTTTTCAAAGAAATTGGTGGTGTTTTCCTGATAACACAAAGACTTTGTATAATAAATGAGAAATCGTCACGTAAAGAATGGATTTGGTCATCATAGATGCCTAGAATAGCCAATTATCTGGGAACAATGACCATTGATCGGGTACAAGGTTGTAATATTTTCACAAGGTTGTGAATTGATAGGATGAATGCAGTCTTCCACATGTTGCTTTATTTGGTTATAATACATTTTCTTTTTTCCTATTATATCAGGGTTACTCAATAGGAAATGCATTTACAGACATCAGAATAGATAACAATGCCGAGATTCCATATGCCCATCGCATGGGACTCATTTCAGATGAACAATATAAGGCATTGAAAAAATCTTGCCATGGAAACTACTGGAATTCAAGCATCCCTGACTGTGAAAAGAACATGGAAGATTATATGAAAGTAAGCTGGTTTTTCTACTTTACTTTGTGAGGTCATCCATTCTGTTATTATGTTCTAAGCAGTCATTATTCCCACATTGATTGTGCAGACTGCGGGCGCGATCAATAAATACCACGTCCTTTGTCTCCCCTGCCACTTTGTGATGGGCATCACCACCACGACAAACCTCAACAACAAAATAACTCAGAGGAACTCTACATATGGGGAAATGGTGTATGAAACTGATTGTGGTGGTGCAGTTGCTGAACATGCACATGGGCGTCGTCGCCTCCCAGAAAGGCAACATCCTCCTGATAGTATCTATTGTTGTGTGAGTGCTTGTATATTTTTTGGGAGCAGGATTTTAGTCAAGATTCAAGAAATTGTGATCATATCAGATACATATTGTTGTGAGGTCCAGCCAATCATGATACGATGACCATCATGGGGTATTTGGTGAATATCAGGTCATATAGACTAAAGTTGTGCTTGTTTTAAATTTATCTACTTTTATAATATATTGATGTATTAAATATGAATCCATTATTTCTAAGAGATATTGAAGAATTCTCAGAAAATAAAAACTCTACGCCTAATTTTCCCGATTTATCGACCAATACCGCTAATTGATCGTAAGGGCTTCCCCCTTAAAGGATAGGTAATTATATCTTTTTCTTCAACATTGGCTTTGAATGTAACTTGGAATCAGTAAGTAGCTTTTTTATATGTTGACCTTTCATTCCCTTTCCAGTTAGTTGTCATGTATACCTGAACTAATTTAGGATGTCTAGTTCTGGTCTGATTCTTCATATTATTTCACTACATATCATGTGTAAAACTGTGAATTCCTTATCATAATGCTTTGGTTGCAGGATTACAATCACCGGCCTAGCATGCTTTTTAACTCGGAGTCAGGAAGGAGGGATATGCATGCACAACCGGTATTTTTGACTTCTTATAATTTTTCATTGTCATGGTAGTTTTGCTGGTGTTTCCATTGGTTTATATATTCTCATTTGCAGTTTGGTAGTCTTATGATTGCACTGCCTGCATGCAACCATTAAAACATCTTTTATTATTTGCCTAAATTCCCTAGCTTTTTCATTTCATATATACTTGATGAAGTTTAAAATTAGAATTCGTCTACATTAGGCTAGTACATTTTGCATGCATCTGATGAAATGTGAAAGAAAATGTAGGCAACAAAATATGAGTTGCTATAGCAGCTTTGTCCAAAAAAAAAGAAAAAGGAAAAAAAAAAAACAAACAAAAGAGTAGCTATAGCGGCATTCACATTCAAAACTCCTCCTGTTCCACTGTTTTATTATTCTTATCATATTAGAAGCAAGACTGTCTTTTATGTAAGTCACTTTGGTATGGATGGGGAGTATATCAAAGTGAAATCTCTTTGTTCGATGAAAGTTATGGTGTAATCAATATGGTGGAAGAATTCAGTGAACATTAGAGTTGGAAATGGAAATAAAAATGAATAAAAGCTCTATTTATTATTATGGTAAATCAGTGCATCAATATGTAAATCTGAGTTCTTATGTCGCTTCGATGTGTTGACCTACGAGACAAACCTTTGGCTTTTGTCTCGGTAGGTGTATTATTCTACATTTCCCCAGAAGGACATTAATTCATTTCTTTTTTCCTAACAAGCAGAAATGATTCTACAAATCAAGACCGGACTATTTCAATAGAAAGCTCTGACTTTTATTTGATACTCAAGATAATGAAAGATAAATTTATCAAGGTTGAAGCTTCAGATTGATCAATGAAGTATTTGGCATGGAAGATTTATATCATACAAATTTCTTGTCAGAGCTAGAATCATCTTAAATATCTTTGATAATCCTTTCCTTGAATTCTCTTCACTTTGTCAATTGTGTTTCTAATAGGTCCCCACACATCTAGAAACCATTCTTCCTCTTACAATTTCATAATTCACTGATTCAAATTCTTGTCTCCTTTCTTGGTGCAAAACCGATACTAAAAAGTATAGATCTGAGGGTAATTGTGCAACAACCTGGCTTCTTTGATCTCAATCAAGGGAATGAAGAGAAAACGTATTTTTGGTCCACAACTCTTACCAAACTCATGGTACTTGCAATACACAAGGATGACCTTCCAACTCAATGTATTCTCGGTACACAAGGATGGGAATTCTCTCTCTACACCAAGGAGGAGGAAGAAGATTTCATTATCAAATTATCAACAAAAGTAACTAGCGATTACAGCTATGTTAGTTTGCTGGAACCATAGTTAGCAAGTCTATATTTAAAACACGATTTTTTTAAAAAATCTCCGATTTTTTGAGATCTGTTAAGAACTCCGAGTTTTTCAAAAGATCTTCAAAAAATCACGTATTTTAATGGAAATCGATATAAATTTGTATTTTATCTTTTTTTAGAAAAATTCTTCCTTTATAACTTTGTTTCTTCATTAAATTAATATTATTGAATTTTGGTTTAAAGATAAATACATTAACAGTGGGAGTGTTAAAAATTTTGATATAACAAAAAATTTCATAAAACAATTTCACCATTGAGTTCCCAAAACAATCGTATATCTCAAAATAATATGTAGAATTAGAAGAAGAGTAACCCAATGGAATATATATATATATACA